CGCTGCCGCCCGCAGCGCCGTGGCCGCAGCCCGCCCGGCTTTTCGTCCGCTTCTCTCCGGCTCTTCTCGCTTTCGTTTCTCCCCTGGCTGTGGGGTGTTTGGGTGCGTGCGGCGTGAGATCCTTCAGCGCTGTTTGACTGTCCCGTATCGCCCTTCGTGTGCAGCAGATGGCCAGTAGCGGGTGGCTTTGTCCAGTAAAACGTGCGCGGCGCGTTTGTTTCTTGCAGACTTAGTACAGGTCAGATTAGGGGGGTTCCTTACGTAAGCAATGTTGTTCCACCACTGCTGCTGGTTTTTCGTTATACTGATCTTAGCCTCGTTATTCGTCCTGCGAGTTTGTCTGATCCTTCTGGCTCTGTCAGCTGTTTGCTGAAGTGTGTACGTGGCCAAGAACTCCAAAATACGCTGCATGCCCTAAAGAGTTGGGGAAAGAAGTTGTTCTGGAAGTACTTCGATGTTCTCCGGCTGCATTGCATAACGGCGCTGGGTGCAGCTAAGTGTGAGGCTGTCCCGTAACCTCTGCTTCAGCCCTTCTAGATGGCCTCCTCAGCCCTGCGGCCCACGACATGATACAGGCCGACATTGGGCACCTTATCGCAACCGTGAGCTGCTTGAGGGCTGCTGAGAGCAGAGGTTAACAGCCTCTCCGGTGCAGCGGGAGAGGGCAGTGTCGATCCAGCAGGACAGGCTTCTGTTAGTGTTTCCAGACTTCCTCGCCAGGTGTAAGAGGAATATCCGAATTTACCCTGTGTAAGAGCCAGTACAACAGACAGGTTTATCTTGGGAGCAAATGTAAGCTTGCTTGTAACTCAGCTCTTAAGCGAGTTAGCTTAATGCTACCAGAGTCATTGAGCAGGCATCTGCTGATGGGGAGAGCTGGGGAGCTTGCTCCTATCCCACATGAAGACCCTAAGAGAGCCTTTCATTCACAGCAGGAGTAGCATTGGGAGAACATCTAACACCTTGTGCTAAATTTTCTATGTAGCAGTGAGGAATTTACAAAAGTGAACGTGGCTCGCTTGCCAGAAGTGAGTGTTGTGCGTGCTGTGATCATTCTTCAGATGTATACCCAGAATAATTAATTACTTTTTTTTTCCCTCCCCTGAAATCTGTAATCCAGAAACTCATCTAGGTCTTGAAGTGGTTTAAGTGTCTTATTTCTGAACGGAATGCAACAAGTCTGTTGCCTGCCTCACTGATGCAAACCAACAAAGGTCTTTTAATATCTACTTAGGTTTCCTGAAAGTGAAGAAATAGTGCCAATATTTCTGGCCTGGTCTTACCATAACCAAAAGAAAGGCAAGGTGGATTCAGGCTTAATTCAAATTACGAGAATACTGACGTTAGTTAGTGTATTTATAGTTGTTATCTTGAGATGTAAATACCACGCTGATTGCCAAAGATCTGTGAATAGAGGTGTTCCCTTCACTAGGGAGCAGAACTGAGAGAAGTGAAAGGTCATCCAAAGGTGCCTGAAGTAGGTGGATATGATGTGAAACGTGCTGGAGAGTGTGTGGTGTAAGGAGTTGTGGGTTGTATGTGGGTTTTCTGAGTATGATGGCTGTATGAGTAAGTCTTAATTAAAACTAATGCAGTAAAATTGTAGTCTGGGAGAAGATCTTGTTTGATCCAGATAGTGGATGTGTTGCCGTTGTGGCTTTAAGGCAACAATGTTTGACTGAGATAGACATAAAAAAGCAACTGGACTGGTTAAGTTGCTGACTTCTGCTTTATCAAAGTATTAATAGATTTAACGTTTTTTCTGCTCTCCTTTATGTACATTTATATGGAGTCCTCTAGGTTCTTGTCTTTATCTCCCATACTTTGGTTGCTTTCTACTGTAGGGTTGTTTATAGCTGGCTGTATTACCTAAAGGAAAAACGTAATCAAAAGAAACAAAGCTCATACAATCTGAGGTTTCAGTGAACTTCTGCAGAATTCGTTTTGTGGATTTTGCTAACCTCACTAGAGTAGTGTATTCTCTATTATCTGAGTTTGCTGTAGTTAGAGGTTGCATAAGGCATAATCTTGGTGTACATGTGAGGTCTGGTTTCAGAGTACTGGTAGTGTCTGCCGGGAAATGTATTTGTGCCTTGGCACAAAGCTAAGTTGTAGCTCCCAGATGTGGTTAGTTCAGTGAGAAAGATTGTGCTTTAACCTGGGAAATCTACCAGTGCGAAGGTATGGCTCTAAGAGTTGGTTTAGTGGGTGAAGTTGCTCTTTTGACAGCGGTAATTTTGTCCTAATCAATGCATTTCTCTCTCTTTTTTTTTTAGACATCTGTGAAAACTTTTCTAACTGCAGTTCGTGTATTGGTAATGACACAAACGTAGGAGGCTGCAAGTGGATCGGATGTGGAAGTAAGGAGGACTACACAGTGCAGATCCTTACTGTGCCATGCAGAACCTTAAACCCAACTAGACCTACTTCATCTATGTTAATGTTCATTATGCAAATATACTGTTCAGTTTGATAACCTAATGGAGCATTAACTCATAGGTTGTATCGGTTGTGAAACATTTCGAGTTCCTATGTGGAAGCAGCTATGTTCAAAATAATGCCAGATTTGTAGGGCTTCTGATTTAAATCTGTGCTGTTGATAAGCTAATGTTTTCCAGGTGATTCAGAATGTTTTTAGAACAAACCAGTCACTTGTGCTCACTGTTACAGAGTCATGAGTGGATTCTGATGTGCAGGCACATCCCTGTGCTTCATTACCTTTTGGGGTTTTGTCATAGATGTGGCCATAACCACTACTCCTGAATTTAAGTGCGATAAGGGATAGGAGTCCATTAAATAAGATTAGTTAAGAGTAGCGTTCCTAAAACTAAGAATTGCAACCCGCTGAAGGGAACATAACAGAGCCAAAGGAGCATTAGCTTGTCTCATTCAGAGCCTCATTTTTCCCATTGTAGGAGAGCTGGATGTAACTGCTTTTAGGTGACCTCTGGTACTCAGTCCTGAAGGAGATGAAGTTGCTGTTGACAAAGTCGTACAAAGACTACATAAGTAATCCTCAGGCGGATTATTTGTTACTGCTTATATGAGGTAGAAACAGAGTAAGAGGAGAGAAGGGCTTGACTGTAATAGTGATTTTGTAGCACTTGATTGTAGATGACCAAAAAAGGTTATATAGAAAGGCTAAGATGTTTCAGAACTAATGAAAAGAATTTTGGGTGTTACTTGTCCAGTACAAGAGTGTCCTTCAAGAAGCTCTTTTTCTGAATTCTGCATGTATTGTCTGACCAACAGGCACATACTGCAAGCACCCAAGAGATCTGTGTAACTGCTTTGAGGGAAAGGTTGAAATCTGAGTCAAAGGAGAAGGGTGTCCAGGCAGAAAATAACAAACTGATGTCTTCAGCAATTTCAAGGTCAAGGATCTCTTCGAAAAGCTGAAACTAAGTTTTGCTTGCATGTAAAATTTGAAGACATTAAGATATAATTTTTTATGATGCTGCCACAGAGACACAAAATGTTTAACTTGAAAAATGCCACAAGTAGTAGAAGCACTGTCTAATTTCATAGGCTATGAAGAAAAAAATATCAAGCTATACTGTTACTCCAAAATGGTGCATAAGGATGTGTAAGTATTGCCTGAGTGTTGATTTGAGTGGTAGAGTAACTGTAGTGGAAGAAAGTACTAAAACTTTTGAAATTTTAATTATTAATATAATAATATAATGTAATACTATAAGTCCTGCTTATTGAAGTGTCTTTATTGTTATCCTGCCTAGAAGAAGGTGTTTAGTTTGTCCTGTGAACAGTTTATTAGTATTTAGGAACAATGTCTCAAACACTTTGAAGTTCTGCTGCTGCAAATATTCTTGTCTCTTCTTTTCTGACAGGAGACACGTGTGTGAATGAAACAGAAGTAGATTCGAAATACAGCAACTGTGTAGTTGAACAGTGTTCTAGTAAGTATTTAGGTACTCAGCTTTCACTTTGTTTAATGTGAAGCAGTTGCGTTTACAATTGCTTCATCTATTGACCTTTGTTAATATGCCTTCTACAATTTACATAAGCACATTCAATTATGTAAATAAGCCCTTTGCTTCCGGCTTAAACCTATGATGTGATACTAAAACGCACAATTTCATTGTGCAGTTAACTGCTCAACATTGCTGTTTCAAGAAGCCAGATGTATTTTACTAGACACACGTCTGTGGCTACTGCCGGGGTTTCTTAGATTAAAATGAGTGATGTTTCCTGTTAGATATAGCATTATTCTAAGGAACTTGTCAGCACCCTTGAGACAGTAAGCTTCGTACTCAACAAAAAAAGTTTCATCTGCCAAGTCCATTCCTTCATCTGAGATGCAGTAAATAGGAAAAACTTACAAACCTTGCGGTTTTAATTGTTAACTAGCACAGCTCTTCATGCAGTCCTGAAGTGCAGCGTCTGGGTTATAGAACTTAATGCTCTTGTCTAGATGGGTTCAACAGTGCTGCTAAAGAGGTTGGCTCGCACCAACGGAAATAAAGCTTCCATGCTGCTATGGGTTATCTTGCGGTGGTGGCAGCCAGTCAGAAATAATTCTGCTTGACTTGGACTTGTGTTGTTTCTAAAATGGAAACAATCATCTCCTAATTAGGAGTGTTAAAAGTATAATTTTTCAGTGCCTTCCGAAGAGAGCATGCTGTTACAATGCCTTGTTCTGTATCTAAGAGTAGAATTTCTACAATCTGTTCCTGTTAAACTCCTGCATATTCAAGGAAACTTAGTTGTCACCTTCAGTAGAGGATCTTTGTTGGTGTGAAAGAAACCTGGATACCTTCTCAGCTCTTACAGTGTCATGGCTCAGCACTGCATTCGGGGATTGATGCGGAAAAACATTAAGGTGGACCTAAAATGACTTGATGCAAGTGGGACATGAGAGAATGTAGGTTCTGATATATCCAACCCATCTCAGGAGAAACAGTTGGCTCTGGTTTCCCATCATGCTGAATTATTTCAAGATGTAAATAACCACATTTAAATGACCTTGAGCATTAAAGGCTTCTGGTCATCAGAAAAAAAAAAGTGTATGATTAAGCAACAGTTTGGATAAGCTGTCCGTGTGTGATTAACTCAGTTAATACAGTAAGTTGCAGAAGGCTTCACAGTTGTTGGGTTGTGTTTTGGTGGTTTTTTTTACAGCACATGCTGAAGCTGACAGCACTTACAACCAGCCACGGCACTCAGAATGCAAAGCTTTAGCTAAACTTTCGAATTCTTGAGTATGTCTTGGTTTTCCCCCCATACTGTTTCAGCTGTCTAACCACTCTGATTTCTGGTTGAACTTGATAGGTCAGGTTTCATTCATGTGACTTTTGCTGTTAGTGTGGTAGATTGAACATTCAGCTGCTTTGTCATTTCAAACCAAAACTACAGTAGAACTCAGTGCTATGTGAATTCCCTAAAACTCAGCCTGCTGCTGTTCTGTTTTGTTTTTTTTCGTTAAATACTGTCATTAATCTCTTTAACCCTGTATTCTTTCGTAGCTCCTACGGATGCTCCTCTTTCCAATGCTTCTACACCGTCTTCCAATACTACTACACCACCTTCCAATACTACTACACCGCCTTCCAATGCTACCACAGCGTCTTCCAATACTACCACAGCCAGTTCTGCTACCACAGCTCATACTACTATAGGTAATATAGTACCACTGAACATAGCGTGGCAGTAAACTAGCAACTGCTGAATAAAATAAAAGGACAAGGGCTTTTTCCACAGATCACTGTAGTAAGTGTGACTGCCAAACATATGATGTGTGGGATACGTAAATGGTCCCAAGGTTTGTTTTGGAAGAAGCAGATTATATAGAACTTTAACAGAGAAGATACTTTCCAATATGATTAAGAATTGGCTCAGTGGTAGTTGTTTGAATTAGAGTAGTCAGTTCCAGTAATCATGTATTCTTATGAGGTTGTGTTTTTTATTTGTTGCTCAGTTGAAAATTTTCTGTTCTTACATGTGCTGCCATCTTAAGTTCTTAAAAAAACAAACAAAACCAAACACTAAGCACAAACACCAAAACAAAAACCCCACTAAACCAGAAAAAAAAACACCCCAAAGAAAAACAAAACACCAACTTTGTCTTCAAAAGCATCTGCTGCTTAAGGGAGCTGGGAGGTAACAAGTTGGTACTTGATTAGACTCAAAACAGTGTAGTGCACAGTAGGGTAACATTTAGCTTTGAGTAAACCTGCAAATGTTGGCACTTGTCTCACGCACATAGTGGAATACTGATTAATTTTTAGTAATACTGATCTGGGGGTGGTGGGGTGGGATAGTCAGACACGTAGTGTTCTGGCTTGGTAAGTGCTTTTAGGAGACAATTTAGTTACAGGTGAGTGCTTATTCCAGTGATGTTATTCACAGTGTTTTGGGGGCGGGGAGAAAAAGGAAGTTTTGCTCTCCTGTAAGTGTTTGTATCTTGTCTAGAGATCCTACATTAAATACTTTTTAGTACGATACATACTAACTGATTCTAAGGGCTGTTTAATGACAGTCCTTTGCCTTGATGCAGGTTCTCAGTTGTCTTGATTCTTGTTCAAATACCAGCATTTATATTAGTGCTGGAAAGAAAAGTTTATGGTGTGTACATACTGTCTTCTCTCAAACAGCTAACATCACCAATGTAACTACACATGCTCCTCTACCTACAACTGCCATTACTTCAGCTACCGCAACAACCAGAATTCCAGGTAACTGTGGAGTTCTAATACTTAGAAATTAGCGTTGCTTTAAAAGTGTTATCTTGAAAGACTTACCAAGTGATAACATCAAAGTAGTATTGGTATATCTGCTGTTGTCACTTGTAACTTTATGGCACGTCTAGTTTTGTTAAGGTGATGTATGTATGTCGCGAGGTAGTACCCTGAGAAGCAGAGCTAGGTGGTGAGACACTGAAAGTCAGAAACGCTTGGTCAAATGAAATCAGCTGGCCGCTTTTAATGGTGTGGCTGGAAGTCACTTGTTAACTCATTTATCTTTGGAAGGTGATATTTTGTTTTTCACTTGCGGCATAATAGTGGGGTACTTATTAAAAAAAATATTGGGCTACAGTGATGGGAATAAGCTGAAGTATTTTGTTTCAGCATCAGTCCTGAATATGCTATTTCATGAAGAGCTCTCATGAAGTAAAGCTCTTTAAAACTAGTCATCAGCAGATGGCTGTTACTTCCGGGTTCATACGTGTTGTGGCTTCAGCTGATTTCTTGAAGCATAACTCTGGGGGTAAAGTACAGTAGATGGAAGATAATAATTTATTTTGAATTTAAGCAAACAAACCTACAGCAAGAAGCAGAGATTGGAAAATGTGTTTTGAATGTGAGCATATCAGTAATGTACTTCTGTGTAAAGGAGGAAGGCTTTGGCTTTTTGAACTACAAATAAAGTCCAGCTGGGACTCGCTTGGTATTGAGGTCCAGAGCAGTTTGGCTATAAATAGCTCCAGCCTTGTACAAACAGCATTTAATCAGAATTTCAGTGTCACTGATATAAATGCAGCTGCTGACATGTCTTTACTTTTGAATATTTTATGGTTTTTTATTGGTGTTTTAATGTTTTGAGGAAGCTTAATACAAGGAAGCCAATACTAAAATCTGCAAAACTATTGTGAGCCTTGTGCACTTACAAACTCTAATGTGGTGTTTAACAGGTACAAATGCTACTGTGACTCCTGCACCTTCTCCACGCAAATCTACATTTGATGCTGCAAGTTTCATAGGTGGAATTGTCCTTGTTCTGGGTCTGCAGGCTGTTGTTTTCTTTCTGTACAAGTTCTGCAAGTCGAAAGACCGAAACTATCACACACTTTAGGACCTGCCACTTTACCATGGACTAGTAGCCCAACACCTGTAGTTCACTGAACCAAAATGTTTTCTGTTGCTCATGGAAGACAGCAGTTCATAATATCCTTTAAATCTCTAAAAGAAGACATTAAAAGAATATTTTTGCAACATTATACTTGGCAAGAGGTGATACGAATCTCTTCAACAGGATTACTTGCAATATGCTGCATGGGTTCTAATGGCTGTCTTTTCCTTTAGTGGCTGCTGCTGTGGGACTTTTTTTTTGATATGCCAAATGTAGACATTCAGAGATCTTATTCAGTGGCAACACTGTCTTGAGTAGACAATCTCATGATGACTTATTGTGAAGGTTAATTTAATCAACATTTGATACAGTATCCCTTCAGTTTTATCAAGATGTGAATTATTGGTGACTGACTTCAGGGAGTGAAATACCATTTATACTAGCGTATGTCTCTTATAGCGTGCTGCTAGAAAGATGAACAAAATTGTAGAAATAGATAATGTCTTAACAGAATAATAATAACCCATGAATTTTTTTACACAAGATTAAAGGTTGCCTGATAAAATACTGCATTCCAAACAGAAATCCTGTGCCCTTTCCAATTAATATTGAGGGTGGAAAGGGGATGTAGAGATAATCCTTCTAAAGGGGAAATGAAGTTTAGTGCCTTAAAAGACTAAAAATAAGTAGGCTACAAAAGTGTCCCACCTATCTCAAAGATAAACACAACAACATGTTAAGTACTAGCTTTACATAGGAGAATGGAATACATGTGACTTGAGCATTCCAGTTTAAAAACTTTTTATGTTAAATAACTGTCCCTTATTGACCTTGTTTGCGGGTGAGGGAGCATGGTACAGTAATGTTCAGCTACGAACAGAAGCTTTAGGTTGTTTACCTTTTGTTCTGGCCTACAAAGACCAACCATAAAACTAGTGATAAAATTTAGTTCACTCCCTGTATAAAAAGGCAGCAACTTACGTTTATACTTGAAATACTGATGTTTGGGAAATCCTGAGGTTTTTCTTATTCAAATGATTCTTAAACTCGCTGCAGTTAATTTCAGGGGTTTAGTGTGGTTTTTTTTCCTTTTTTATCCTCCTGTATGTCTGCTTGCTGAAGGAGCAATTAGGGATAGTTCAGAGGATGTGCTGATTTGATCCTAGTTGGGATTGCTGTAGTCCTGGGGCTGCTGAGGTTACAGCTTTTTTCTTTGCCCTGTCACCTTCCAGGCATCAGGTTTGTGTCCCCATGCAGTGAACTGGTTAAGGAAATCTATTTGGCCAAATAGTATCTTTTCTTCCTTGGCTGGATCTATGGTGTGATCAGAGTATCAAAGGTATGTCATCTCCAGTGTTAGATTGACTTGAGCACCTGTGAAAATAAACCCACAGGAAAAATGGAAGTAAAACTAAAATCCAGGTGGTGGCTGTAGCACATAATACATAGCTTTTGATGATATCCCTTGATCATCAATATCAGGATAATCTGTAGTACTGTCTTACTAGCTCTGACTTGACAGGAATTCAATACCCAGTACAAAGTGATAGCATTAGTGCAGGTAATAGTCATGACAGTGGAACTTCAATATGAAGCAAATTAAGTGCACTTCAGTTGGAAACTCAAAGTGCACAGTATTGCTTTCTTGTGTTCTTCTAGGTTGAATGGTATTGTTTCTATTGTGCTGCATAGAAAACTCAAATTGCTACAAAATACAGAAGTTACTCACCAGTACTGTATCTTTGAGTTCATTAGCTTTTGGTTTTTTAAACAAAACTAAGACAATCAGCTCAGGTTTATTAAAATAGTAGAGTGAGCAGCCAGTTTCCAGCAACAGTATGTGTGTGGGTTAGATGGTATTATCCTTGGCCTTATTGTGAAATCACTTAATCTGTCCTTTCCCGATCTCAGAACTATTTTGACATTTATTTGTTTAAAAAGGTACCTATGAGCTTGTATTCTCTGCTTTGAAGTGAGCAAAATGCTCTTGTCAAGCGTGACAGAGTTCTCCTTCAGCTCAGCAAAGCAAAGTGTATGCCTCGTGTATAATTTTTTTTTGGCCTCAAAGGGCTATCTTTAGGGAAACTTGCAGAAAAGTGCTACAAAACACTTCATAGCATGGAAGACATTGCCACAAAAAAGTTGTTGCTCTGTAAAATGTTGCTAAAATGCTTATTCATGAGCTATGCTGATCCTGATTTAGGTTGCTGATAAAGTATGCTGGTAAAGCAAACTAAAAATAATTTTTAAAGTGCCTTAAAGTTGCTTAATCTTTTGCCTCAAATTTTGTTTGAAAGGTTAGAAGGGATACCTTGCCTTAGTTCAAGAATTTTTCTTGGTGCCAGCAATCACTACTTTCCAAGACTTTAGGAAACCCAGGATCTCTGACGTGTACACGTGCCAATCTGAAAAACTCAAGCTTTTGCTGTATCAATTTAGTCTTGTATGGAAGGCCTGCACTGCGCACTGCTTGCTTGTTAGCCTTGCCAACAAGGTATGCTCCCCAGTTTGCCAAGCTGTGGCTGGGATTGTTTCCCTTTCGGTTGTTTGGGAGGAGGGGAGGCTGGGTTAAACATCACCATGTGCTTGGCTGCCTCACTGGAGAAAGTAATTACTCCTTTGCGAAATGGCAGTATCAGCTGATCTGTGCTGTGTACTAGCAAAAAAACTGAAGTAACAACTCACGGTTTTTCTTGGCCTTGTGTTTTGAAGTGGAAGGTAGCTCATAGATCTGTAGTTGTATTTGCCCCTAAATCAGTTTTAGGCACTGAACTATAGTGACTTTTCAAGTTATGTGGCTTTTTCTTGAAGCCAACCTGTGCAAATATCAAGCTGTTATCTTATGAATGGTCTCTGCAAGTGTTGCTGTAAAAGTTTGTGTTCTGTCTTCAGTGGAAGAAAACTGAAATGGTTGTAATTGCAAAACCAAATTGATAAATAAAATCTGTTGAATGGAATTTTACTTGTAAGCTTTCTTTAATGTGAGCCATCCCAGAGGGAACTGCCTGCTAACTTTCTGGAGATAAGAACTGTTTTTCATAGGAACTGAGAAGCACTAAAAAAAAGAAGAATGAAGGGTTTGAAGTGTTAAGTTAGTTCTCCTAAATACAGTATTAACTTTGCATTTGGTATGTGCAGCAATACTGATTCAGATTTAGAACCATCTCCAAAAGAATTCTCATTTAGGTCCTGTTTTTCCGTGTTAATTTAACCCTGTTTCCCCTTAAAGCCAAAGAAGAGCAAGGCATTTATTAAGTGTTCTTGCAACAACCTGGAAGGCTTACTGCTTCATTTTCCAATAGCAAAGCTGTCGATGCTGGATGTCAGCCTGTAAGGTGGAAGAGGGACTGCAGCCTGTGGTTCCAGGGAGACTGTTAACCCCTACGTTGTAGCATCTTTTAGTGTTAAGATCTTTGACCTTCATGAAAAAGGTACAGCTCTGAGCCTTGTTTCTTTCCTGATTGCGTGAGAAAGAGGAGGATACTTGCTAGGGAATAACTGAGTACGCTTGAACAAGAGAACAGAGGGTGTGCAATTCTGTAGTTGCAGACTGGCTGAAATAATCAGCTGAGTGAAGTAACCTCAGTAGTTTCACGTCATGACCTTGATGCTTTTGTGGATAGCGAATGAATTGTGAACGCGTCACTAGGCAATGTTGGCATAACTCAGTCTCATATTACAGGAAATTGTGAAAAGTTTAGTAGTGTTTCTGGAAATGCTGTTTGGAAATGGAGGAAACCTGGAGCTTCCTGCTGTGCTTCAAATTGCTATGCCTTCTAGAAAATGATCCATTTACTGCACACAGTCAAGGACTGAAAATTAAGGGGTTTTGTTACAATTTAGCACTGAAGGCCTATGCACAATTGTTTATCCCTATAGTACCAATCTTGTGTTACTGCTGTTCTTTGAAGGTAGTCTTCTGTAGGTAAAGCATTCATTCATTCAAAAATAACCTTTGAATTTGCTGTATTGAGTAATACTTGAAGTACTTTATCAAGAAGCTGTAATTAGCCTGAGACAGCCCTTTCCTTTTTATTGCTGCAATGGCACCTAAGTACTTTGTACTGATGATACTGTTCTACTTCCAAATTGGCATCTGGTTCCTGGCATGGGTTAGAATCACATTTGATGGCTTCTCTAGTGACAGCTGACCTTGGATAGTTATCAGTCACCTTTTCATTCATTTAAGATCTACCTAAGAAAGAACTCATGTTATTTGATAACTGGTTCCACAGCATTCTGTGTATTGTGAGTTGTTTTGATGTAGCAGCAAGCTTGAGTGAAATAAAGCTTCAGTAATAGTGAAGGATGTCAGCTTTATTCTGGGAATCCTCTGCCTCTAAACACTGCAGCATTTCTAACAAGTTAGAGTTCCTTTACTCAGTGTTTAACCGATGCAATACTGTTAAGGATTGCCCGAATTTAATTCTAGGTCTTAGTTATTTATAAAGAGTACCGAAGTATTTGATTAGTCATGTTTGGAAGCATCCAGGGATGTGGATGATGCTAAAAGGCATGTAGGTTAGTGTTCTAACTTGTCAAAAGCTGCAACACAATTTGACACATCTCTGAAAGACAGCTCTTGAGTCCTTTATTGGCTAGGCTATAAAAGCAAGCTTTTTTTTTTCATGTAAGAGAGATGCAGATAAGCTTATGCTTTCTTTCCACCCCTCCCTCCCCCCCCTCCCCATTTTCTCCTAGTTAGAAGGAGCTGCCCTTCTTCCCCTTTCTGGGGGGGAGGGAAGAGAAGGTGCAAGGGAAGGTGGAGACGCTGAGGCTTCTGATGAGTCATCTTTGAACAGGCTTGAAAGGTTCGATGTACAGGCAGCAGCCTCTGGGGGTGGAGAGCACTGCATTGGGCAGGATGTGGTGTTCAAGGGTTGCAATAGGACAGCAGTTACAAAAAAAAAATCAGAACCAATGCTTTTGCTCTAAGCACTTAGCTATGCTTTGCACCAGTGTGTTCCAAGGTTACCACAATAAAAGGAGGTCTTTTAGTTTTGACTGATGTCCTTGCCTTTCTGTACTGTGCTGTCTGTGAAGAGAGGACGTGCAGTGCTGCTCTTGCTCAGAAGGAGGATTTGCATCGCCCAGTACATAAAATGGATTAGCAGATTAACTGACTGGAGCTGGTATTGAACACTGTGTCCAAATATGTTGAAGTACATACATACAGCACTGGAGTATTACTGCCTCCCTTTGATTTGTGTGTAAATTGCGCTTATCTTATATCAAGGTTGCCAGTTCAGTGGCATTTTGCAAAATGCCCTGGACCCATTAAAAAAATACATTTAGATTTACTTCTGGACCAGCCTTTGTTTCTATAGCTGCATGAAGATAGTAAAAAGAGACTCTTCATTTGAGTTTGGTAATAGCCTGTCTGCCATTGTTTGCTTCTGTCTGTTAGGCACCTGAAAGTATAAGTAACATACTAAAAGGGTCACCAACCATGGCATGGTACTCAAAAAAACAAAACCAACCAAAACACCACCCAAACAAGCCAAACCAAAACCTTTCCTGGACCATTGTTAACTAAATACCTCCTTCCTGCCCCCTTTCCTTAGTCAATGTTTGGATTATTTGGAACACTTTTTTTTTTCCTGTTTGCTAACTGTATGTACTAGTCACCTTGCTCTTAAAGATAAATCTTCAAAGGGTTTTGACTTCCTGTTCAGATGAAACCTGCCTGGGTATGTATACGAATCATAACTTGCAAACTGACA